CCACCCTTCCCATCCATTTTCAGACCGCATCGCCCATTTTCGCACGTTCGAAGGGCTGACTTTTTGAGTCACTCAGACGTGTTCCATTGCCGAAATCCTACACACCGGTGTGTGGCTTCGCCATGCTTCGCCATGCAAATCGTATGTTTTGATGGTTTCCTCATGTTTCCTTGTTGCTTTAATTCTTGGTCATGAACTCCAGGGACACGTGCTCAAGAAAAGCATATCCAGTGGACCATCGAAATTCTACCACTCCGGTCTATTGGGGACAAAAACACATCAGCCAACATGAGATCACGAGTGATCCTGAACAAAGTCGAGATCCTTTTGTTCTACAGCAGACTGTTATAGTAGAAAGAGTCGATCCAAACAGTCTGTGATCGATCCAAGCAGTTTGTGATCACTTCCAAGGGTCCAATGTGATTGGAAGTTTATGGTCACTTCCAGTCGCTAGGGATCTCCACTCCCCCTAGATGCGCTTGGTGGCATCCTCGTCCGCCCAGGTCCAGCTCTTTAGCCACCATCCAATACTTCATGATGGGTCAGACGCATCCTCAGCATTTGGGTCAAGAACTAGCTATACAGTAGTTACTTTTTTTGACAAGGCTTCGTTGTAGATTGTAGACTCTCTCTCTCTCTCTATGTAGCTCTCAGATTCTCATGATCTTCATGCCCCCTCACTGGCAATCATTGTACACCTCGCTCATGCATCTTCAAAAAGCACTTCATTTTTGAACTCAAGACTCAAAAACCATTACAAAACATATTCCTTTGAACCCAGGCAGCGCCCGAGAATTCCAAGAATTCCTGTTGGAAGTCATCTTCGGCTCTCATCTCTCCATCCTTCCATCCGAGGATCGTGTGGCACTACGCCGTGTGGTACGGTCTGGTGGCGGTGCTCGCCACCTTTCTGGGGCAGACTGCGTGTGAGGCCGGGCCATTGGGGGCGAGCTGGGTGACATGTGCCGGGTGACATGTGGCGAGCTGAGCCTCTTCAGAACACAGGTTGAAGCAGTATAGGGGTAGGAGGAAGTATGCAGTTGGAGTGTTTGGCAGGATTCAGTGAAGCAACACCTTAGAGTTGGAGTGTTTGGCATGGCTTACAAGCGATGGAGGGAGAGACCGCTGTGGTGTAGAAACTGGGGGAAGAAGAGTCTCGTTTGTTCCAGTTCTGAACACCGAGGCACTGGAATTAAGAACAGTAGCTTTTAATGTAGACTCGTGATTCATAAACCCTTCATATGAAAAGGGCTTTACAATCCCAAACCATTTATGAATAGATGGTGCCTTTTTTCCATGGCCGCCACTTGGCGGATGGGTCACATGACACATCGACGTGATTCACTGGTCTTGGGCCGTCTTGTGATTCACCGGTCACCGGTGGTCACCCAAACCGCTTCGTGGTGAGCCGGGGAGGTTCTGATGGACGCAGCGAATCCATGGGACTGGCATTTGAAACCATACGGCCTGACCGGGAGTCAGGACTGCCACACATGGAGTGACGTCCTCGCGATGCGTATCCCAGACACGACACTCATGGGACTGGCATAGGACTGCCGATCAGGCCAGGGGTGGTTGACTGGGGGTAGGCATATATTGCATACATGGAGTGTTTGGATGTGTTTGGGTATAGTTGTTTTTCATGTGTGTTTTTGTTTTTTTTCCGACTTTGAGTCATAGTTTCAAACCGGAAGGAACATGTACCAGATGACTTCTGATATCAAGCAGATCTGTGGCAAAACAGTCCGTAGTTCCGCGGTATAGGTACACAGAGAACCACCGCGCATCCGACTCATCAAAAACCCCTGTCTACGGCAGCCAGGTCTTCATCCGTAAGCGCCGGCGCTATTCCTTCATCACGTTTGGAGCTCAGATGGTCGCGGGATCTGAGCGAAAAGCGCCGACTTTCTGAAGGATATCAGTGGAATAGCACCACGGATCGAGACCACGCACTCTATATGTTTACTTTGGTTCTGAACATTTCTTGTCCATGAACCAATAGGTCCACAGGTCGTTGGGCCTTGGAAAGAAGTATACACGGAATGTTATTTCAGTGATCTTCCAATGAATGACTGATTTCCACAGATTTCAGTGAATCCCCTACACATGTTGCTTACAAAAGTGTATACAACATCTCTGAAACATAGCGATCTTGCTCCTAGCGATCTTCGATCACCCGCAGGCTCTCGGTCTCCTCGGTGCTCTTCCTGTCGTTGGTGTGCCTTTGCGTGGTGGGCACCAAGACGGTGCCTCGGTGTTTGTCGTGGAGTGCCTATAGTTGGTGGGTTCCTTTTAGGACATGACCTTGCTATTCTTGGATCTTGATTAGTAACCCTTTCCAGTTTTGGATTGAAGAACTTCTTCATGTGCGGGGGGGTTATTAATCAAGATCCTACAGTAGACCTGAACACAGAGGTGTTCTTCTACTCGGGCTGGGGCTGGAAGAACCAGGTAGACCCCCCGAACAGGTACGGTACTTGGGCTGGCCATGGCTGGCCGAACCGATGTTGCTCCACCACAGGTGATGCACGACTACGACATGGGCAAACCGCTGACCTTCACTTTCACTCGCCTTTGCCGCTCAGCTTCGGGTGAAGACGATCGAAGATTGGTGGAGAGCCTGCACTGAGACACACAACTGCCTCACGTTTAGCGCGCTTGTGTAGAGGGAGACTGCCCCCAACCCTTAGGATCCCGCAAAAAATCTGGGAAGATCAAAGAGAGTGCAGGTGTCTCATGTTTTCTCGCTTGATCACTTGAGTCATTTTGAGTCTATTAAATTTATTAAGAACAAAACGCAAGTCGATGGGGTCACACCCCAAGAACCACCCAATTTGCGACTCTCGCGGGGGGTGAGAGCTGTCGGTTCTGCTGGTTCAGGCCAGACCGTAGGGTAGGTTGATGGTGCCCAGGACCGGTGATGGCATAACTTGGGGTTGAGGACAGAGTACTGCACCTGTACCAGGACCCTCCTGGCCAGGCTGTTTGGAGACCCTAACAGGTAGTTTCTGGACACCGGACTTGTCACCAGGAAACACCTGTAGAGTCGGATGCTGGTATATGGGGCCGGATTACCACCCGACTAATTAGGTGCACGTAGGCTACCGGCTAGTACCGTATGGCTGTTTGAAGCGTAAAAAAAAGCTTACTGTAATTCTTAATTCGAAGAATGCAGTCTAGACTAGCCGTGTCCATGAAAACCGTGTACAAAAGAAGTCAAATGCAACCGACGTCCACAAATTCTTTACTTTTGGCGTCCACGAGATCTTGAGGCACCTCGCAAGAGAAAACTCTGGATATCATATGAGCAAGGCCAAACGCCTCCGAAGATGAAGTAAAGGCCTTGTCATATGGAACTTGGGCGTAAGCAAAAAACTGAAAAGCGTAAGGTTGCGTTGTGAGACATGTTGCGTGACAGCTTGCCATATCGGTACTGACATTGGGTCAATGTCGGACCGAGTCCAATCGTCGTGCCTGGGAGAGATACATCGATAGACGTCGAACCTCCGCGGGACGCGGTCCGCGGGACGCGGGGACGCGGGGACTTCCGAGGCGAAAGTGGCCGCGGCTCGATCATCCGGCCCAACATCGCCATGGGCCGCTTGGGCGAACTGGAAAACGCCGGTGGCCATTGGCCGTCGGTCCGTCCGGGCGAGCTGGGTCTGGGTCGGCCTGGGCACGATGAGGCCTCGCCGTTGAAAGAGACCAAAGGAGACCAACTGGACTGAAGTGCCAAAAATGGTGGTCCAAATGGTTTCGTCCAAGCCTAAGCATAGAACAACATATGAACACAAATCCAAACTGCCCTGAAAAGAGAGGACTTTATCCTTTGAAACCACGGTATGCAACACCCCGACGGATCGCGATGCTTCATCGGATTCGGGTCTAGACCGCGACGGATCGAGGCCACGATATCGCGATGCTTCATGCCGGAGCCCATCAGTGAGAGGGCAAAGTCCTTTCCGAAACGAATCAAATGAGAAAAGCCAACTGAGGACTCAGGAGGTGGGCGGTGTGGATCAAAAATCAAGGTCTAAATGATATACACATACAGGCACTACTGTGGTCTACTTATAGTCTATTAATATAATTCAATGGCCACAATTCATAGGTCATTAGGCGACTATATATATATATATGGTTGCTTGATGTTTCATTCTGGTTTGGTCGGCTGGTTTGCAGAGTTCAACTTTGCAAGTGTTTTGGCGGATCAAAATGGTTTCAAAGATGGAACTTCATCATACAAGTGATATTCCTGTGCGATGCAAGTGATATTCGTGTGCCCCCCCGCACGCATTTTTTCTGCACATTTGGCTCAGGGGTAAACTTGCACAGCCTGAAAAGGGGAAGCTCACCTGACCTCTTAAAGACGTTTCTACTCGTACCTGCAAGATCATAAAGCCACCCTCATTCAGTCATCACTTCACAGTCATCTCACCATCCCAACAACAGCTCTGAGATAATGGAATGAATTCACTCGGACTCACTGATGCCGGACGCTCAATGAGGAGAGATGCTCATGAGCAAAGCACGAGCTACTACATGAGCTATTTCTGGGAGAGTGTGGAGAAGTAGATCATAGGAACCCAGAACCCTGCAAATCCCCCAACCATTTTTCCATGCGAGCAAGGCCCCTTGCGCCGAAATCTGCAAATTCCACACCTTGCCATGGCCTGCCATATGGCCTTGCCATGAGATGTCCTGCTCATGCTTCAGTGGCTTTGGCAAGATCGACTGCGGACACTGCGGGAGGAGATGCTGGGCGTTGTTGAACCAAATGATTCGCCACCGAGCCAACTCTCCTCGAAGGATGTTTGCCATACTGCACGTCTTCAGCCAATTGAAAAGCAAGTTGGTGGTTCACAGCGTGAATACCATCTCCTTGGGTGGATTGGGGTGAGTTCTCAAAAATGGATCCCCAAAGTGGGGTTGAAAGTTGAAAGCCCGACGGAGCTGCGGAAGGAACACGGAACTCATTGTGTTCGGGCCACTGGTTGACTATGGGGCAATCGGAGGCACTTGGAAGTGGAAGCTGTTATCGGAAACAGTTGCAGCAAGAGCTCCTTGAAGAGATGACTGGGGGTGCCTGTCCAATCCCTTCCATGTTCAGCGGATTTACCATTGTAAACGCCAATGAACATCGACAGTGGGTGAGACATTTCTGGTTGGTATGCCCACCCCAACAGCAACAATCACCGTAGTCGTAGTATCTCACATAGTTTTGTAGTAAAATCCCCAGGGTTTGCTTACTGCAAATATGTGTTTTTCTTCCATGAGCAGCGGGGAGAGGAACGGGCCACCAGTTTACCAGGGAGAGGAGCGGGACTGATCTTTCCCTCTGGAGAAGGGTCATCCACATGCTGCCCCACTCAACAGGTGGCTGAATTGCTGCGAAATTGCTTCAACCCTCCAGATTTGGTGCCTGGATTTGGCCAAAAGACGGTTGCTGAGGCGGGCTTTTGGCGAGCCTGCGCGAGCTTTGGCCAGAGGAGAAGCCGCGCTGGGCCATTCAAGCGCCTTGGACAGAGTGTGCTCGGCCCTGTTCCACCAAGATCAACTCAAACATTTGGCTTCCGAAACCGTCACACAGCGTATTGTTGGAAGGGGATTCACTAATACATCTACTAGCTACTATAATATATTCTATCATGCTCAGAAGGTTCATGATTCTGTAACAGTGTTCCCAGCCATGCCTTGTTTGGGTAAAAGCTCCCAGCACCATCGACGGCCATCGGCCAAGCGCCGAGGCGGAAGATCTCCGTAGCTTGGCTTGGAAATCTGTGCAAAACCGGTGCGACCAGGGCCCAAGAGAGTATTCCTAGGCTTCCCCTAGGCTTCCAAGACCATGTAAAGATATGTAAATAATGGTTGACCTGGTGTTGTAGTCGTTCGGAATTCAGACTACTATATCTTCCTGATGGGCCAGGAAACCGTGGGCGAGTATGAATGAGTCATCCAGAGCTGGAAGTGGGGCCGTGGGGCTGGACTATTTGTTGTCAAAGTGTTTGACACGGACAGATTCGCACCTTCTATTCCACACGGGAATAGAGCCTGGGGAGATCTTGAGCCTTTGGAACATGACTTTGAAGCTGAACTGGGCTGGTTCTTTCGCAGGTCCTTTCCAGGTCACCGCCCAGCAGCGTCGCGCGCGTCGCACACTCGCGACCGGCACGGGACGAGGCCGGCTCAGGGCGTCCAACCCCATCACGGCCTTCACACGCTACCACGGCGCTGAGTCGGGACGTAGGCGGGATGGGCAGAAACACATGGGTTGGGCTGAAACACATGGATGGGGGTTGGGTTAGATGAAGAGCTGAAGACCAGAGGGGGCGGGTGGGGTGAAACTCATAGTCATCTTCTAGCATCTGGTGAGCGGCTGTTCGGTGGGCACCTGGTGCATTACGTGCACCACCTCATTGCCCCAGCTACCGGAGTTTGCAGGCTGGAGGACGACTATGTCTTGCAGGACGCCGGGCTCTGCGAAGGTGAAGAACGTACTTGTAGAATTCAGTGGTGAAAACTTGGTGGCCGAGGAGCCCTCCAAGCCTCGGATTCATACCGTGATTCACTGATTGATGCATGATGATGCATGCTATGCTACTGCAGTATGGTAGCTTCCTCAGCATAATGAAAAGAGAAGCGACCGCAATTCCGGCACGGATAAAACAGGACAATGTCCTTGGTACGGGCATGTCCGGCAGCGTGCAGCTGGTGGCCAGTCCGACGGCTCAACGCGAGGGAGAAGGGATTTTGTCTGAAGCGAGGGAGGTCAACAGAGGAACACGCATGCATTGGAGACCACTCTGAAGAAGAAGAGGAAGAAGAAGAAGAATACATCTAATTGTCCTCTCTCACCTGTGAATTGTTGTTCTTGGATTGGGTTTGACCGGAGAACAAACATCGCGCCGGTGTCACGATTCAAAGTCCAACGAAACAACGTGGCGACTCCGCCAGATGCGACTCCGCTATAGGGCGAGGAATCACATCCACTGGGCCGGGTGAGTTCAACCGAAACCCTGATGGACCTCTAAGTACCTCCTGAGAAGGTGTTTGGGGTGGGTTTGGAGGGTCCAAATACCTTCTGAGGAGGTGCTTGGAGGTGTAGGGGACAGAAGTTCAAGAGGTCGCTCAGTCCCAGTGATGCCCCCCCCACTTGTCGAGTGTTTGTAGATGTCTTCCAGATTGCCTCTCAGGGTTGGGATCACAGGAAGTAAAGGCACCCAGACACGACCTGTCTGGGACTGGCATAGTTACCTACATTGACGCCGGGTCAACCACCCCAACTGATGGGGAGTCATATGTCAGTCCCATGATCCATGTCGTGTCTGGGGTAGCTTGGCCTTGTTGTTGTCACCTCAGGCACTGTGGATTTCACCTAAGGCACCGTGGATGGATCGTTGTATGCACTCAAGATCTACGACAAGGACAGCATGAACGACAGTGCCCTGGCAGCTTTGGCTCTTGGACCTGCTCAGTCAACCGCTTCAAAAGTTTGGGCCGTTTGCTTTTGCACACCGCGGTCGAGCATTTAATAGCTTCTCTGGAACTATTTGAGAGTGGATGAACCCCTTGTGATCACTGGACCTTTGCGTGGTGACCGAACAGCCAATCCCCCGTGCAGCGGGACCTGCGCGTTTCGGAGGTTTGAGGGACACGACACGATACGAGACATCTCGAGACCAATCTAAAGGAACCACCGGGTCATCGACTTTCTCTCCTGACGGTACTGTAGTAGATTGCTAGATTCTAGATATTGCTAGGTGTTTTTTGGGTCGGAGTGTCCACCCCAATCTTCAGACGCTCAACCTATACAAAGTAGCCTGGTGAACCTGTGGACTCTTGGTCGAGCATGGTGCTACTCTTTGCTACTACAATTTCTTTTGCAGCCTTGTGGATTGCCGGTGGTCGGACGGATGGACTCAAAGGGCTGCAGTCGATCCGCTCAAGAAGTCAGAAAGCACGATCCAAATCGATCCAAGGTCGTTACAAGCTTTTGAAGCAGGAGGTTGAAATTTACCTCAGCGTAGATCACCCAAACATTGCGCGTCTGCCGCTTGGAGAGACGATCCGCGGCGGAAGGTTCCATTTTCGCAGACCCAAAAGAGGTGCTCATGAATAATGAACACAACTTAGTCATTGCATTAGTTAATGAAGAGACAGACATACCCTTCGTTTTAGAAAGCTTGCTAAACCTTGGGCTCCGAAACGAAACCCCTTGTTTCGGCCTCAGGCGCCCCAAACGGAAATCAGAGGCAAACGGAAGGGTAGTGCACAGAAAGGCTTTTGCAAAAACCTATATTCTACTAACATCGTGGAAGGCGCGACATTCGTAGAACCCAAGGCTATTCGTGGACAGTTCGTGGAATGGTGGGCCAGTAGGAGAACTGACTGCAACGAAATCCCAGAAACCTTCGAACTTCGTGGAAGGTATTTTTGATGCAACTTCGTATAAGCGATTTTGCTGACACCACACACCCTCCACACACCCTCCATTTAGCCTTCAAACACACCGCAGGATCCGGCCCCGTTTAGTCCGCCCTATGCCGGATCCCCACGGCATCGGCGGCTCAGGATCGACGTTTACGAGTGGGGCCAAGGCATTGCGCTCATCATGGAGCCACTTGGGCCGATCGTGTTGGGCCGATCGCGCCAAACGCGCGGTGACCGTTTGGCCCAGCGTGTAAGGCTTAGGGCCCGTTCACTCGTCACCCAGTTTCTGGGCAGGATGGGATGAACGGGTGGGTTGTGTTCGATCTGAAAAGGCATGAGACTCAAGATGTCCATACCATGGCGTGTTGGGATCACTGATAACTAATTATAATAGCGATATTGATAACTATTGATAATACTGAATGAATTATAACTGAGAACCCTACCTCTCCCTTTTTGAACGCTCCCTGTGTCTTGCTATGTCACGCTCGAATCGAGGTATTGTTCCGGTGGTGAGCTGCAACAGCGTTGGAACAGCGAAGCCTACGAGGAGGAAGATGCCATGGAGGTCCGATGGACCCCGATGGACCGCGTGGTCTTTGTGGTTCATAGCGACCATCTTCGACCTACTGGCAGGTTGTGTATTCCTATGTGATTACGACTGTGTACTAGATCAGTCCGTATGTCACGTGGTAGCTTGCATGTTTACTTTGTGTACAATGGGTTTGTGTGTATACCAACCCTAGAGTACACCACAAAGTGGAAGGGCTGTTAGGGGCGTGACCGTGACAAGTCCGCAAGTTCGTGTGTGGCAGGTTGTGTATCTTTTCTTTATACTGGAGGCCTCCCAGTTCGACCCCCTGGAGGAAATAGGCTAAAACTCATTGGTTGGGTGTCTCCTTGTTAAAATACACTCATATTTAAATTTCTTGATGTGGTTTTCCAGCAACCCCGCAGCAAGCGCCAATGCGGACTGGGTTTCTGGACCTAAATATGAGGGACCCAACTCGTGGTCACTACTAACCCAGGAAAACAGGATGACCTTGAACATCCTTGAACCTTTTTGTGGGATTGGCTTCACCAAGTCCATGAACAGGTGGACCCATGAGCATGTTGCGAGTCTGTGTGTGTATGTGCTTTTTTTTCTGTGTTTTTCCTATGTGCCGCAGCTCCTCCCAGGCAGATTGGTGGGGTGAAAAACCCCAGGTTTCGGCCCGACCTTCTCATTCGGTGTCCGGTGGGAAACACCAGGGTGTTGTGGTGCCATGACAGCCATATGAGCATCCACCCACCACCGTAGGCCTTACTAAAGTCGTCTACGGCGTGCTCTATTGTTTGCGCAAGTCTATCATCGGTATTGGCGCAGTTCTGAACGAGATAGGGCCCCCAGATCAACGAGATGCTTTGCTTGATGACACTAAAGTAGTCTGAACGAGATAGTGTGATCTGCTACTAAGTGGTCTGAACGAGGTACTGTGACATGACCTCCTACTTAAGTCTAAACGACATAGGGCCCCCACATACTCTCAGATAGATTAGTCGCATCGGTTTGCGCTGAATGTTGCCGTTACTTGCGTCGAAAGGTCTTCGGGAAGTCGCATCGGTTTCATGATTCCATGGGGCTTTATAATGCTTTGAGAACATGCGACATACAAATGATCTAGCTATTCCCTTGTTTTACGATGACTTTCACATGGGCACCTTTCTTTCAATGCTACTGGGGCCTCGCTTAGTCGTATCAAAATGGTGTGCCCTTGGGGATTGGCTTATCTATGGATGTTTGTTGTTGTTCTATTTGTTCTACGAACTGATGTTAATGTGCTGTGCCCTTGCTGCTTCGTGGGTTTGAAGCATCTGTGAGCTAGAGCTCCTTGCTGCTTGAATTTTCGTGAGTCATCCATGCAAGCATCCTTGCTTCGGCTTTGCAGCCATTTGGAGCCGCTCACGTACTCTACAGCACTTCCTTCGGCACCAATGGCGCAGGGCAGTGGCGACTGTGACATGATTGTCACACCTGAGAAGAAACACCTGGCTGCTGCTATTGCTGTTGTTGTTGTGGTGGTGGCCGCTGCTGCTGCTGCTGTTTTTTTGCTGCTTGTTTGCTGCTTGTTGGCGGCTGCTGCTGCTGCTGCTTGTTTGCTCCTGCTGGTGTGCTGCTGTGCCGCTGCTATTGCTGTTGTTGTTGTTGTGGTGGTGGTGGTAGCTGCTGCTGCTGCTGGTGTAAATGCCTACTGCTGCTGCTTCCGCAAAGGAAATGGCATACTTTCGTATAAAACCAAAACATTCTTCAAACGCTAAAACGCCTTGTAAACAGGAACCTGATGTGACCCTGATGTGACCCGGTCGCATCGGGCCCCCCCTTGCAGATTAACAGTTTTCCAGTCACCTGATGTGACTAATATTGATGACAGTAGTGGATAGTGTATTCAAGTTTAGTACCAAATCAATGCCGCTGCACATATAAATGCCGCGTTCTTTGACCTCACTGACTTCAGCACGGACCGATCCATCGATTTGGGGATCGATGAATGTCATGTGTCGACCGGTTTGGATCCGTTTGCGTCGTGCCAGGCGACCAAGCAAATGCTTTATGCGGTGAATTACTTACACGTGCCTTGGGATAGCAGCTTCCCAACGAGAGGTCAATCGGGGAAGTCAACAGGTGAACCGATGATGGTTCACGATGGTTCACGTGCCGCTGAGAAATCCGCGGTGAGGAGTCCGCGTGGCAACATCAGTTTTCGGATGTTTTGGCATGACTGGATCGGCCAAACAGATCGTTTGCTCTCATGGATAGACTCTTCGAGGAGGGGGTGCTGGTGAATCCAAGTCTCGACATTCTTCGGAAGCATCAAATCGACTGGCTGTTGCTACCAACCTGGAGAAAGATGGAGAAAAACCTGGCTGCGCTGATCGGCTGGTCGGACTGGAGGTCATAAACCCGTCAAGCGTAAACCATCAGCTCACCGAAGGACCGCAACCTCGAGGCTAGTGTCGCCTGAATAATGGTGCCCACGTAGGAGACCCCCAGAGAAGCGGTGGGGATCTCCTCTCCATCCAGCTGCAGCAGCGGACGACTGGGTGCGCACGACTGGGTGTGTGTGTGTGTGTTCTTGTTTTGTTTTATGTGCCCGACGTGATTGGACTGTTTTTGTACCCGAGGCGCACAACATTTGCCACAGGGACCTGAAATTGGAGAATTTCCTCTATGAGACTTGGCAGGAAGAGCCCAGGAGATTTCAGAAGGCAAAAAGATATTTCTGGGATTGCCAGAATTCTTGGCAGGGTTCAAAGGCAATTTGTGGATTTAGCAGCAAGGTAGGATTGGTTCTGAAGGCTTTTGAGTTTCATTGTTTCTTGGCACCAAAGCAACTCTTGCAATGACGATCAGGAGGTCTAGAGTTCTCCTTTGCCCCTTGACTCCAGCCAGATGGGACTCGGAATGATCGACAGTGAAAGAGTCGGCAATAAATTGCTAAATGGTCAAGCTTGTTTCTTTTTGGCAAAAAATCGGGCATGGACATGCGACATGCCATGAGGACGCCTAAAGGCTGCCACACTGCATCAATCTCAGCTTCCGGGATCCTGTAAGGGAGGTTTGATCATTTTAGATTATATGTTATGCACATATAGTGGATTGAGAGTAGATGGCACAGACCCCAATGTCGGTGGTTTATATGGACCCCCCATCTGTCTAGGACATCTTGGGGTCTGTGCCATCGAGCCTCTGAAACCACTGTATGAACTATGGACTATGAACTTGAAGTTCCCCGCACCGCATGGACCATCCACACCTGGTAAGAGCTAAAAACATAAAGGCCTTCTTTTCTCCCTGATAGTATGGGACCACAACTCCACAGCTCATTCAGTATTTGGAGATATGTGGAGGTCCAAAGCTACTGACAAAGTCATGCACCATTTGTGAATATAAAAATAAACTATAGCGACGGACACATAGTTCTTTTTCCAAACGACGAAACTCATGACTTAGAACAAAAAAAATCGGACATGCGGTTAGAACAAAAAACCTATTCACTAAGAACATATCCAACCAGCACCGGTAAGAACATATCCACCCATCACTTAGAACACACAAAGATTGGGTTTAAAGATGTTTAGTGTTGCCTCAATGTGTGTATGACGTGTGTATGCATCATCGGAGTAGCGTGTTCAAAGCCGAGAGCTGTGAACCAGCAGCAGGGCACGCATGCTTAGAACATCTATCACACTCCAAGTAGAAACATTATGCTTGCAATCCACACATGTTCTAAGTGCGTGGTTCTAAGTGTGTGATTTTTTGGTCCATGTTCTAAGTCTATGTTCTTACCTCTTGTTTTTAGTTTGATGCTTAGAACAAGCCAACATTTTTTTCCTAAATGATGTTCTAAGTGGTTGTTTATCACTATATACTGAAAAGCTGAAAAAAACACCTTCCAACTCGGTAACGTGGTAAACAACGGTGACGTGGTGACTGTGGACTCGGAACGACGTTCGAGGAGAGTGGCGACAAGAATGCTTCGCTGAAGCTGATAGACTTTGGTCTCTCCATCTCATTGGATGTGCCGCGAAGAAACAAAGGGATACGAGAAGGGAGACGAGACTGGTCCACATGAAGAACCCGCTTTTGCAGACACAGAAACCGTTTAAGATTTAAACCAGCGTTGCTGCGGCGGTTGTGCAAGTGTTGTTGTTTCAACATGAGTTTTCACGTGTTGATGAGATTTAGTGGGTTTGTTTCATGAGTCGCACTCTATTTCAATGCAAACTCAGGGGCGAACCGAAGGGAATCAACACGTAGATGCCGCAGCTATAGAAGAATAAAGTCCCAAAAGATCAAACGCTCTAGACTTTGTACTGGTAGACCTGTAGAGAAGCCCAAACCGCCCCACTTGTCAGAGGGAATGCGCATGGAGGGACCGAGGACGTCATTTACCAGCATGTTTGTTTGCTTGGAATGATTTTGAAAGGAAAAGGACCAGGAGGTGTATATATTAGCAGGATTTCAGCTTGATCCCATGCACTTTGTTTTGCTCAGATTGTCATCCTTGGCTTCCAGCTCAGGACGTCCAAATTCCAGTAGCCCTGCAATCAACTTCAACTTCAATATGGTCTGAAGAGTCCTTGTAGGGATGTGTTAGAGTTGACCCCATAATAATACTCTATCATACCGCCTGCCATACCCATGTCATCCCATGTCAGTGTTTGGGTGTGCATTCCTTTTGGGTCACAAAACCCTCGAACATACCACAAGGGATTAATATTAAGGGATTGGCCGACACCCCTGATTACCTCCCCAGCTTAAGCACAGCTAATGATCTTCATGTTCCAAATCAATCCCAGACACTCCATGGGACTGGCATATTTACCGATCAGTTGGGGTGGTTGACCCGGGGTCAATGTATGTAAATGTGCCTTTCCCATGGAGTCTTTGGGCATAAATCTATAGCAGTACACTGATCCGAACGGGAAAACAGCAGCATCTCACACTGATCCAGACTGATCCAGGATGAACTTGGATGAACTTGGCATGTTTCGTGACCTGGGAATATAAGTGTCTTTGTTTCCACCGTTGTGCTTCGATGTTCGACGCCCATGATGCGTTTCTTCGTCGTCTCCCGTCGTCTCACGTATCCCCAGGATGATGAGATGACGATGAAGTCCACGGTGGGTACACTGCTCTACTGCAGCCCCGATGTGATCTCTGGCAAGGCAACGCGACTTTTGTTGTGGCACCGAACCGGCTTCGTGTGTGTGTGTGTGTGTCACCCCCTGTATCTAAGGGTTCCACCTTTGTAACTAAGAGTTTTGAATGCAGGGGAGTGCGGCGTGATTGTGGGACCGCACTCAACGAAGCTACCACAATCACGGGATACCGAGTCTGATCAACTCGGCGTACCTGCTATAACTTTTGAACACGCTGTCCAATTTTGATCGGTTTGATTCATGGTGGTTGCATGTGTTCCTCCCTTAAACCTTTTCTTTTGCCGCCGTCAGCTGCCGCGCGTTCGTGAACTGCAGACCGAGGGAAACTATGTTCAACAATTCAAGTGATCGGACCCATGCACCTTTCCGTTCCCTCACCTTTCTTCCCAACGTGGCAATTGAGTCTAACTGAAAACCCAAGTTCGAAGTGTGTGTGTGTGTGTGTGTCCAACCCTGGACAAAGGGTCTTCCACCACCACTCTTTCTACCCTACATGGGCAGGGGGACACAGCATTTCACTGGGACTGTGTCCAACGAAGCTACCAGTGAAATGGGATATCCAGCTTGGCCAGCTGGACGTACCTGCTCGTTCTTTCACAAGCTGTTACGCCAATCTTCCGCGTTTTGTTTCATGGTCCTTCATGTATTCCACCCCACAAACAGATTTTTTCAGCAGCCGTTCACAGACTTGCGCCGCGCCGCCCGAGCGACCGATCGTCTCTGCAGACTTGAGCAACAGTTTTTGAAACACCTACAAGTTTTTGGACCTTTCACCTTGCGGTTCTTCGCCATCCTTCCCATCGGAGAAATTGAGCTAACTGAATACAAATTGTCGAAGTGTGTCCCGCTCAGCCGTCCCACTCGGGTGCTGAGTGTGATCCCCGTCACAGGGGCGCCGATCCTGCATGGGAAAGCAACCACCCCAACGCACCACCACTCACTGGACTCTCACAGGAAGGCACCGACACCCTCACCGAATCAACTGACATACCGGCCGCCGGGCCAAAAAACGGTTCTTGAAGAATACATCGGATTTCAGCTTTCAGATTTCGGATCCGTCATTTCATTTCATTTCTTCAAATCATGTGCGTGTTTCCACGTTTTGCTAGATTGATGCCGTGTTTCTTTCATCGACAGAACCCAAGGATGGGCATTAGAGCTCTTCAGCTTAATTCGAGATGCATGAACACACACCTACCAACAAGCTCACATCTAGCCATAGCTACGACCACGACATGCATTTTCCGTGGCCCTACGCTCAAGCCACGCCACCACCACTACCTACCACACAACCTCAACCCACATGGCCGCTGCCACAGCCAACAACTGCACCCACCTTTCCCACGACACAACCATCGGCATACCCTCACCCACAACCACAACCATTTCAACCACCACCTTTTTTGTCCAACCCTACCGCCACTGCACTGACCTACGGCACACCATCCACTTGGACGTTTGTGCAACCATGTCACGTGCCACCGCAGCCCACACATCCAACTCCAGTCTTTCCGACAGCAGCACCTCCCCCTTCATACCTGTTGCCACCACAACATCCCACACCACCGGCTGAACTTCCTCCCCCCACTACACTGACACATCCCCCTCCAACACAGCAACAGACTGCGATTGCCAATCATCCATCCACAGACCCCCAATGCGCCATCCCCCAGGGCGTTTGGCAGCCCTATTCAGCTTTTCCCCCAGTCACACAGCCTCCACTCCAACCATTGCCCCCGCCACCACCTCCACAAACCATCAACGCCTCAACACCAGTCCAACCTCCACTCCAACAGCAGACACCATCGGATCCAACACCACCAATCCAACACATCCCCACAACTGCCACGGACACTCCATTGCCGGTCCAAAACACTACCCCTCCAGCTACCGTATCCCAACATTCTGCATCACCATCACTAGTATCAGCCACACCAGCACCCGGACCTTCACTACCTGCACCAGACAAACTTGACACCACTGCCTCACCAGCACCACAACCACTTTCCCCGCAACCACCACACAGCAGTCGCCGCCACCACCGCAAGAACCGACACAAGTCCGACCATCATCACAGAGGACGCCACCGCCACCGCCGCCGACATCGACATCACCGCCACTCCAAACATCACAGCACAACCCGGCGACGGCGTTCGCCTTCGACATCCACTTACACATCCAGCCTTACGCCATCCCGCAGTCGCTCACCACCACAACCCATTGATTTACGCCCTAACACTGAACACCAACCCAGACCCCTCTCAATTTCCCACCACAGCCGTCCTCCGTCGCCCAATCAACCGTTGGCGACCTCCACCCAACTTTCACACCTTCACACCTGCAGACCAAATCCTGGAATGGCTCGAATTCCACGCCACCCAACTCGACAATCCCAACCGACCACAACACCAGTACATTGCCAATCTCCTCACAGACTGCAACATCACCTACAAGGAGATCACCGATTTCCGGCAATATACTCACGCTAAGTGGAACGACACAACTCACCAATACGACCAATTCCAGTACTACGCCATTTCACTTCCTTTCCTCAACACCAAAGCCACTACACCAGAACCGCCTGCGGTTTCCCGAGCCACATCAACCCACCGGGAAGTCGCCCACATCAACGCAGGCCACACAGGCCCTGTAGGCAACATTTCCAACATTCTACGACAAGGCCGATTTTTACCCAGCACACTCCACTTTGCCAACTACCCTGGATTTTTTGCCCAGGGCGTTCGCATCACCCACAACCAACCCCATGACCACAACGAATTTGCCCGCATCATCCACAACACCTGGCAACTCCACAAGAACTCCCATTCCCTTATCATCACACTCCTTGCTTGGGGTGCTGCCACAAAATATACCTCCGGAGGTGAGGAACACGCCATGAACCTCCACCCGGACCACGCCATTGTCAAAGGACTGGCCTGGTCCACAAACTCCACTCCACCTGACACATAACACCACTGTCCCACATCTACACACCACTACCACCTCCACATCCACCTTTGGTCTCACACCACCACCTAACCTTTGCTCGTAGCAGCCAAAAAGAGCCTCCTGCAGCGGCCACGCGAATTTTGAACCCTCAATTTTTCAAGCTCTGCAGTTTTTGCTGTAAACATCTTTCTTCGAATTGTACCGGCTGTTTTGATGGAGTATTTCACATGTCAGAATCTCATGTACTTGACTGTCCAACCGGCATTGCATTTTCATACTTTGCCTGTGGGAATTTGATGCTCGCTTAATTCATATGCACGGCCTCGTGATGACGCGCTCCCTCAGACTCGCCGCTGTCCGGCTGCTTTGGCGCGCTGCTGCAGCAACCCGTGACGATTCTGTGCTATTGTACATCCCTACATCTCCGAATCATGAGCAGCACACCGACACCTCTACACAACGACACCTCAACTCTCATACACAGAACCACAGTGGCACTTTCGCAGGTGCAAAACCTGCTCAGACAAGCAACCGACATTGTAGCACACCTCCACACTCAGTTCCTCCACCACATCCACCAAGCGGATCCCACTTTCCGCCAACACTTTCAGCCACTTCCAACTCCGCCCAACCACCCTATACGTTTACCCTCTACTACCTCATCTTGTGACTCAGCACCATCCAGACCACCCATCCGTTTACCAGCACCACCCTCAAAAGACTCAGACGACACCCCAACAACACCCCCCAGATCCACAACCCACCACAACACGCAAGCGGAAGCAACCACCCCCACCACCACTGAACCAACAGGCGGACTGGGATGCTTGGGACGGCGACGCCGACTGCCGCCTGGTCGAACTCAAAGAAAACCCCAGACTTCGTCCCAACTGGACCACTGTGGCTCGCCGAGTGGGCTTCTCCGTCGAGCAATGCCAAGCCCGATGGCAAGAACTCAAAGACATGCAACGTCAGCAAGACCAGCAACTCTTCTCCACACCACTACCAACAGAACCACCAAGACAAGCACCTTCCCCATCACCAACACCCACATCACCAGCAGTTTCCCCAGCACCACATTCACAACCGGATTTCTCCCCTTCCCCCATCACAACGCCACCGACTTCACCACATCAAACGCCTCCTGCTGCTGTGCTGCTGACGCCGGCCGCTGAGCGAGAACTTAGTGAGAACAGTCATCCGGAGAAATCTCCACTTACGCCCGTTGGCAGTTATTTCATTTGACCCGTTTCACCCACCTCTCTCTACGGCGTGCTGCAGGACAAATCCACTGACGTGCACTGACATTTAGTTTTTCACGCCCAGTCTACTTTCACCAGGTTGCCCAACTTCGATTTGTCAGTTTTCAGGCTCACTTCAGCTCCGCAGCCTTTTGTGCGCCATTTTACTCCATCAATTATCATGGCCATTCCTCGCGCTCGCCCTCATAACAACACCGCCGACACAGAACACTACCTCCCACAGCGGCCTCCGAGCTGGCTCCAACCTTCGATTGGCACTCAGCCTGACTTTCAATCCCTCAACAGCTCTTTGGACCTCCTTTTTCTGGTCAACCAACACCTCCGCCATCACCCATTTCACACTGAACCTATGCCAAGCCAGACCTATTTTCAAGACCAGAGAGCATACAACCTCCTTTACCGAATGCGCGGTGACCTGATCTTGCTGGACCGCCTGATTGATAACCTCTCCCAGGCTCGTCGGCTCCTTCAATTTGTTACCACCGGCCCAGGGCTCCCAGGACAATACCGCATCAACCCCACAGCCTCACTCTCCAGCAGAAACCTGGCCATTCTACATGACATACCGCCAGGTTTTCCACTACCACCCGGACTTTCCAGCCGTTCACCCTCTCCCTCACCACGTACCCCACCACAAGACGCAGAACGTCTACACTCGTACTGGACAGGTCCCCCACCACAAGCCACCCCGGCCACCAACATCAACACTACCACCCACACCAGGGAACGTTCACGGTCCCGCGACAACCTCTCACACCGCAGTGGCTAACTACAGCAACATCCAACCTCAGGCTC